TGTACTTTTACTTAAGTACATTTTTTGAGTACTCTCTCCACCACTGCCCAGAAGATATTGCAATAAACAATAACATTATCTTAAGATCACTTTCAAGTCATTGCTTAATAATGTGAGAAAACATTCTGAAAGATCAATAACCTTTAAATTATAATCAACATTTAACACTGGAACTGGATGCCATTTCAAATATACAACATAAAGAGAAAACACTGAGGTAGAATGAACCTTGGCTTTAAGCAAACCAACCTTAGGAGGAGGTCCAAGTGATCGACCTCGCCCCCTGCCTCTTCCTCTTCCTCTGCCCCTCCCTCGCCCTCTTCCTCTCCCTCGCCCTCTGGGGCGACCTGGGCCCCGGTAATGGAGGCTGGTGAGTCCTTCAGCTGCCAGGCCGACGTCTCCCTGAAGACAAGCAGAGTGAGCCTTTAGAGGCAGAGCACAGCAAAACTGACACATTCTGTAGATTCTTCATTCAACTACTTAAGCTTATTTTATGCGATATTATAAACACATCTAAACAAGTCTAAAGAAATAAATAATCCAATTCTTATTTTAAATGGATAAAAAAATATGAACATTTTATTGTCTAAAATGTAATAATGTAGGGTTACTTTTAGGGCTGCACCGACTGCCTGACCTGCTGATTCCAATTTTGGATGACGTCAAATTTTTGATCTGAAATGTTGCTCAATATAGCAAGAAAGTCGCTGAGTTGGCAACAGTGGGGTGACTACTGCTGATTGGTAATTATTGTTTGGCTTAACCAATTAACAACTGGATAGCAAAAGATGCTTGATAGGAGATTTTTTTTTTCAGACAAAGTTTGTTTTTTTACATAATGTGTTGATTATTTTTTTGAAATAATAATTTAGTATAGATTAATAATTTAGAACAGATTTACTGACAATTTTTTTTAATCTTAAATGCAAAATGTTTATATTTTTGGCTTAGCTTTTTTGTATGTTGCCATTTCAGTAAATGGCCACTTCTAGTTTAATCGATCACTGAATTAGTTGATGATTATTTCAACAAATCGATTAATCATTGGTATTTCAATTAATCGTTTCAACCCCTCCAATTATTCACTGAGCGGTCTGAAATCAAAACCTAAACTCAAGAGCTGAAACCACGTAGCTCAGCTCTGACAGGTAAAACGGTGTCTCACACTGTTTGTTGTCATGGCAGCAGGTTTCTCCTCCTCTTCCTCCTCTTGTTCTTCTTCCTCCTCCTCCTTTTCCTCCTCCTCAGTGACGGCCTCCTCTACCTTCTGGTCCACTCTGCTCTGGCCGGGTTCTGGTGCACCGCTGGCTGTGACCCCGGTGAGGTCGGGCTCTCCGTGGGTGGGGTTCAGCTTGTAGTGGCGGTTCAAGCCACCGGGGCCGATGTAGGCCTTATCGCAGGTCTGACAGCGGTGGCAGCGCGACTTGAGGCTGTAGCTGAGAGACGAGGGGCTGCTGGAGCCCGGCCCGTCCCGCTTGGCGTTCTCCTCCTCCTCCACGCTCATGTCGGAGTAGTCGTCTGAGTCGGACTGGTGGCTCTCCGCCAGGTCCTCCGTCTTGATGAACTTGTAGTCTTTAGCTTTGTACTTGGGTGGCCTGGACACCCGACCCGATCGGGTTTGGACCTTCAGGGCTTTCTTCTCTCTTTTCTTTGCTTTCTTCTTCTCCTCTTTTTCTCGGTCTTTCACCTTGACGACAGAGGTTGCTGTGGGAAGCCTGGGGGCGACGGTTAGGGTGGTGGGTTGCCGTGGAGCTGCGGGGATGACCGGGGTCGCTTTAACTGGGACTTTCCCAGCAGTGGTGGCCGTCCCGTTGTGCTGTGTCTTAATCAGAGGAATGCTGATGGTTTTAGTGACGGGAGCAGCAGGGGGCTTGCTGCTGGGAGGGGGCGGGTCTTTAACTGGGGTGGCAGCTGCCAATCTGACAGTAGGCGGGGCAGGTTTCTGACCCAGACTGGAGGAAGCAGTTGCTATGGTTGCCGGGCCCGTCACCTTGTGGACCAAGGGGAGCAGAGAGCCCACCACAGGAGTGGCGTTCTGCAGCACCAACTGGATCTGGGGTTCTCCTGGGTTCTGCTGCAGCAGGATCTGCTGACCCTGCTGACCTACCACAGACTGCAGGTGGATGATCTGTGCGTTGCCCAGGCCGCTGCTGGCAGACAGCTTCACCTGCGGGTGGCTGATAGCCACGGTCTTCTGCTGCAGACTCACACAAGAATTCAGGTCCTGTTTGGGAGGAACTTGGATCTGGATTCGCGTTGGTTCTGCCTGGAAAGACAAAAAAACAAAAAAACAAAAACAAGTTGAAATTCAGATCTGATTTCAGAAATTGTAAAACTCTCCCTGTAATGGGGCAGAGGTTTGAGGATAAAAACCCAACTGAACAACTGCAGCATGTCTCCTTTAGTTATTTACTCACAATGTGGACAGACATCAAACCCCAAAATAGAACATTATTATGGAAGAGGCTTAAGGTCACTGAGAAGTAAAAAGATCAAAATGGTCAGAGAGTTAAACTGATATATTTTCAATTGATCTTGTTTACAAAAATGTGAGGTTTAGGAACACTGGGAAAAAATCATTTCATCTGAACTTTCTGAAGGCAAGAAAAAAGACAGAATTTTGAGAAAAAAATAATACTGAGCTAATACTTTTGAGCACTAGCAAATTGGGCCAAAAAAAATTAAGTAAAAAAAAATCAGAATTTTGAGAAAATCTGATTTTGGAGAAAAGTGAGAATTTAACAGAAAATATCAGCATTTTTAAGAAAAATTTTTTTTGCAGTGGCACTGAACCTGTTCTGTAAAAATGTTATATTTTGGGCAATGGTGCCCATCCACATTTTGAGTTTGTGAGCTACGATATCGCCTACAGAGGACAAACGGAGATGTGTTGTAGATGCACACACCTCTGTGCAGAATGTTACAGTTTTTGTTCATGTTCAGAGACAGCTGTGTTTTCAGAAATTCATTTTAGTACAAACATGTTAACGCATTTAAATTTTCAGCATTTTATAAAAACACTAAAAAGTATTTTGTCATCAAAATCAGAAACAAGAATTGACCCACAAAGATCAGTGCATATCTATTGCATAGAGTGATCATTTCTATTACAGATATGTGCAATACTTTTATAGAATGTCTGTTGTTGTATCCAATAGTTTGGTTTCTACATCCTGTATGTTCTGTACTTTGCTATTTGGGTTCCACTTCAGTCCCTGTTGTGTAGAAAAACATCCGTTGTTGTCTTTGGTTGATCAGTTAGAAACCAAAACAATCTGCAGCATTTCTCTTTTATCTGTTATGTTCATTAAAAAAGAAAGGAGAAATCAGTCCAAAACAATGCCTGTTTCTCTTAAAGACACACTGTACGTGTTCTGTTTTTAGTAAAATAAGAAAGCTACAATCTATTTCATTTGCATTTTTCTTTGATATTTACATTGTAAAATGTTTACAATGGAAAACCATGAAAGTGATTGGGTAGAACGAGGCCAGTGCAACAAGACTAAAAGCATGCATGATGCACTTTTTAAATTTAATTTAAAAAAACAAAACACTTTGATGCATAACCTGGGATAATCTTGTAACACCTCTATTGTGTTGATAGAAAACTATTTCCTCTATCAAACAACCTGCAGTATATATATATATATATATATATATATATATATATATATATATATTTTTTTTTTTTTTTTTTTTTTTTTTTTTTTTTTTTTTTTCTAAAAAAAATTTAAGTTTTAAAAAAACAAAAAAT